ATCTGGGCCGTTCGTTTTTGATTGAATCTGGGCCGTCCGTGCGTTTGAATCTGGACCGTCCGATCGCGCGATTGATTTGGGCCGTCGGATCGCACCCACGCGGATCGCCAACGTGGCTCCTTTTGGAGTGACGCGATCTTGCCACGTGGCAGGCCCCGGTTGGCCGGGACTGCTGACCGGGCCTGCTGACGTGGCTGCTGACGTGGCCCCCCCCCCCTTTTTTTTTTTTTTTTTTTTTTTCCTCCTCCTTTCCGGGTGCTACATATTTAGTTATGAATTTCTATTTAAAAAAATATAATGTACAATTCTTAATATGGAAACTGTAACACACTACCAAAGTGCAACATGTTCTACAAAATATAATTTCATATTAGAATTACACAAAAATTATTGATTTTAAATCTACCATAAGAAAACATTGTTGTATAAAAATTAAGGTACTCATCTTCAAGCCCAAGTGTAAGCCCTAAGTCCCAAGACCAACACTTGGCTGCTCTTAGAATAAATTAATTTTGTGTTAAAACTAACATAATTTATTTTTGTTAATAATCAAACTTAGTCTGATTATTTTTTATATGATTTTATTACAGAATTGTGTTTTCTAATGACAAAGCAAGTGTAAAACATAAAATATTAAGTCGAGACTCGCAATGAAAAATAGAAAAACAAAGAACTAAGCCTATATTTCTCGGTTATAAGAAAATGTCTATTGGGAGAAAGAAAAGACAAGAACCTAATAGTAGAATGAAAAAAGAGAGACTCGAGCATATAAAGAATAAAAGAGAGAGTGCCGGTTAAGGACTCGAGTAGATAGAGAATGAATAGGCAAAATTAAGGGCAAGTGGGAGAGATTATAAAAGAGAGAATTAAGGGTTGGGGTTTTCAAAAGAATGGATACAAATTATAAACTCTAAGGATGTTAGTTAGTTAGAGAGAGTTTATTACTAATTGGGGAAAATAAATTTAAAAGATAGATTTAGTATTAGAGAGATGTTTACGTAAAATCAATAAAGTGAACCGAGAAATTCAATAAAATCGAGAAATAGTTTCTTTAGCTCTTAGATGTTCTTGTTGTTTTTCTCAATATATAAATCAATATTAAATACCATCACGTATTATAATTATCTTTTCATGTTTCAGGTTGAAACCAAATCTTATTTGGGTTTATTTCTTTACAGTGATTTTCTCAAAAATTGATGTAATTTTATAATTTAAATCATAGTTTTTTTATTTTTTTTGTTCTATTTTATTAAATTTTATTTAATGATAAATATAATTTTTAATAGATAAATTAATATTTCATGTCATTTTTTTTTATTTTCAAGTGTTCACTTATGTGATTGAAGAGTAGCTAGTTCTGTGTTCATTTTATTGTTGATTGAGTCGACTAATTTGACTAATGATCTAAAACGTAAAATAGTGAGTTGTCCAAATTTAATTTTTAAAAAATATATTAAATTATAAGGGATTATATTAAAGTTTGTCCTAAATAAAATAAAATATCGATTATTAAAATAGGTAGATAAATATAATTAAATAAAAAAATCAGAAATATCATATTGAAATCGTCCCAAATAAAATAAAATATCAACTACTATAGGAA